CGGGGGTCAGCCTGGCTGGTGGCCGCAGTGGGGGGGGGGAGCCGGTGGCCCCAGGCTGGGGGAAGCAGTGGGTACCAGGCTGGGTACCATGCCAAGGGTGATGCCCTGTTAGGGAGGAGAAGGTACCAGGGTGATGCCCTGTGAGGGAGCAGCGGGTACTGAGGGTGATGCCCTCTGAGGGAGCAGTGGGTATCAGGGTGGGTACCACGCCAAGGGTGATGCTCTGTGAGGGATCAGCGGGTACCAGGCTGGGTACCATGCCAAGGGTGATGCCCTGTGAGGGAGCAGTGGGTACCAGGCTGGGTACCACGCTGAGGGTGATGCCCTGTGAGGGGGAAGAGGGTACCTGGCTGGGGACCACGCCAAGGGGGATGGCCGGGGGGTACCAGGCTGGGTACCACGCCAAGGGTGATGCCCTGTGAGGGGGAAGAGGGTACCAGGCTGGGTACCACGCTGAGGGTGATGCCCTGTGAGGGGGAAGAGGGTACTAGGCTGAGGACGATGTTCTGTTCACCAGGATGCAGCAGACACCCCCCGCAAGAGACAGACCCGGGGGGCACAGAGAGGGATGGGGACAGGGAGTCCCCTCCAGTGCCCACCTTCCTCCTCCTCCCATGCAGCATCTCTCCCCAAGCATCGGGTGCTTGCACCCTAAGTGGGCGAGGGTACCCTGTGCCAAGGGGGGGCTGGGTGCCCCCCATTCCAGCAGGCACAAAGCCTACAGCAAAGCCTCAGCCCAGGAACGAAAACTCCCCCAGGCCCCTTCGGTCTAGACACTCGCTTTTATTCACCTCAGGGTTTCCTCCTTTAACACAAACAAACTCCAAAGTCTAACTGTTTAGGCCTAAAACTGACTCGTAGAGGAAACAGCAGAGCTTGTAAAAAACACACAAACGACCCATCGAAAACTATAAAAATAACCTAAAGGCGCTTTCTCTTTGGCCAGCGGAGCCTGGTGGGCACCCACACATGTCCCCCCGGTGCCACTGGAAGAGGACACGGGACCTTCCCCTCCAATAAATAACACAGAGACCCCATGGCTGCGGGGATACAAGTGCTGGCCCCGGCGTCCGCATGTCCGGGCACCCCCACCTCCCCTCTGGAGCTGCACAGACAGACAAACCAGCACCCCACGCACCCCATCACCTGGCTGCCCACGGTGCCCTGCCATCCCTCACAGGGATGGGCACAGCATCCCATGGGCCCGGGGCTGGGCTCTCCATCCTGCTCTGGTGGGGATATCCCGCAGTCTCAGGGCTGCTCCCATCCATCCCTGCCCCTGAGAGGGGTGTCAGCAGGGACGGGACGTGGCTGGGGGTCCCAGCACTCGGTGGCACGGGGACAAGTCTCCAAGGGGTTGCCAAGGGGAGTGGGCAAAGGTACCGGGTGGTGGACGTGGGTACCACGGGATGCTCTAGGGATGAAAGGACCCCGGCATGGGGCTACAGCCACCAGCGACTGTGCCTGAAGCAAGTGCTCCCCAACCCCGTTGCCCAGAGTTGTATAAAAATAGAGCATCTGTAGAAGAAGCAGCAGGGAAGAAACAGTGCTGGAGGGTGCTGGGAGAAAGGGCAGAGTCTGGCGAGGCTGAAGGCTGTGAGGATGAGGAGGGCAGGGCCTGGCGGTGTGTGTGGGGGGGTGTGAGTCCGGGCGTTACGTGCGTGGGCGA